TGTCAAAATATGGAGCCGTTTGTTTGTTCAAACGCACGTCGCAACAGCCCGACGGGTTGGTTTCCAGTCTTCGATGTCTTTTCGGATTTTCTTGAGCAGCCCAAGTTATCTTTAACCAAGGCACCCAAATTAGGTTCGACAGTTGATTGTTGCAGTACGTTCGTTCCGAGCCGGTATGTGCGGCTGTTCTGAGGGCGGATGGAAATTATCTTGCATTTACACACGTTGAAATGCAGTGGATTTTGGGTTGACCATTGATATACCGTATCTAGTTTGCCCGGAACAGATACTGTTCGGCGGTTGCCTGGAATCTGCGCCAAATCTTGATATCGTCGGCAAACATTAGGAAGTTTGAAGCGGTTCCCTACGCAAGCTCATTAATAAACATCAAAAACAAGCCTGGACCTAGTACTGAGCCTTGAGGCATACCACCCTCCAGTTGTTTGGGGTCCGAAGTAGATCTTCGAACTCTGACCACTAATTAGTGTTGCAGCAGAAAGTCGGCAATTCAGCTTAAATATTGGTCGTCGATCCCGTAATGCTAGAGCTTGCAGAGTAGTATGCGATCGTCTAGATGATCGAAAGTCTTCGAAAAAGCCAGTTAGCTGATATCATTGACTTCTCCATCGGCAGCTGACTCAGTCCAATTACTGATTGCGATTAGTAATTTCTTTGTGCATGACCGCTGGCGACGGAAGCCGTGCTGCTTAGGTGTGATGGTTACACCGTTTTCCACATAACACCAGTGCTTCGGTAACTATGGATTCCACTACTTGGAGAGTATATGAAGTAGGGATACTGGGCGGTTGCTGGAGCGCTCAGTTCTGCTTCCACCTTTATGGATCGGGGTTATTATTCCAAGCTTACACGTAGAGAGAACTTGATTCTGGTCTAAGCAGCGCTCGAAAACAGAGCTAAATGTCCTTCCAGTTGGCGCACTTCTGCTTCTAGTCCCTCTGGACGAATGATGTCGACACCCGGCGAGCTGTTTTTCCGTAGAGACATCAGCTTTTGCAATACAGCCAACGTGGTAAAAGCCATGTGGGTTAGTGCTGGCGGAGAGAAGACAAAGGTTGGAAGATTGATCCGTGCCAAGACTCTGAAACGTGGGGCATGACACATCCGCAGCGTCGTTGCTGCTTCCACACCCGTTCTTGTCGGGCCAGCAGCTGTCCTGCGTAGAGCAAATCCCAGCCTCACCTTTCGTAGGCTCTTGACTTGCTTGTACAGCAGTTTGTCATTGACACGGAAGGTTTTTCCAATGTTCTGTTGATATGCGGCTTAGTCTTCTCTGAGCAATTTAGTGTAGTTACGTTGGGCTACGTATCTGTCCCAATTTTCTGGTGTTTTGGTTTCTCTGTACACTCGCCACACTGCGTTGTCTACTGTCATCCATTTCCAAGTTCTGCTCCTAAAGAAAGAAGCTGCTTTACACTCTTTGTACATCCTTATCTCTAAAGCCCTTGCAATCAGCTGACTGAATTTGTCGACGGACTCGAGTCAGGCAATATCCAGCGTTTGTTCCTCAAGAAATGACCAAGTTGTAGCGATGACGAGCTGGGCTAATGGATTGTAGCTTGTGATGGTTCGCACAATCTCATGGTTCTCACTCCGAGATTCCACATAGCAGAGGAAGTTGAAACTGGTGACTGCGTGATCACTGTGACCCCACAGGCAGTTTACAGCCAACACATCATTCATATGCTCTTGGTTGGTAAGTACAAGATCAAGCACAGATGGCCTGTTACCTGTTCTGAACCGAGTGGGCAAAGTGATGCGATTGTAAAGCGGAACAGTGGTAACGAGATCTTATAGATCGGGTCTGAATTGTTCTCCGATCGTGGCAGAGGTTTCTAAACAACGTACGCTGCAATCACCCATGACAAGTATGTGAGTGTACTTCGCTGGAAACTGCATTTTAATGCAGCGGCTAGGTAGCAGTCGGTTTCGGGTGTAGAGTTTGGGGGACAGTATACCAAGACAACAAGGCAAGCGTGTCCGCCTTCTAACTGCACACGACACTAAAGTGAGTCATTGAACTGTGAGTCCAAAGTCTCCACGGCTTCGCACTGTAAGTCGATTCAGTAATACAGAATTACCCCTCCTCCTTTTATGAGCTCTTCGTTCCGGACCAGCGACATACCCGGTAGCGAAACTTCAGCGTCCGCTCTGTAATGTACTGAATCAGGAGCTTTCACCAAGGACCAAGAAAGGTTACCATTTAAGTGTCCCAAACGCTCTTTGTTTTACTGCCTAACCTTCACATGGCATTTCGTACCAGATTAAATGTGTTTATGAAATAAACCACACAGAACTCTTACTTCGCGGCGTCTACTCGTGAACCTGTTCTACTCATGTAGGACCACGGTTTACAGGCCCAATTTATTTTGTCCACTATCTTAAATGCTCACTACCCAGATCGTGCGTCCGTTAGCCCTCCTTATTTTCCACCGTAACATGAGCGTTGGCGTACAACCGATTTGTCCGACGCCTACAAGTCTAACACTGGCTTCCGAACCTGCTGCTCTATGCTGAAGTATACTAGATTAACACATTTCGAACCATGGAACTCGATACAACCAAACCACCGCTCTGTGTATACCCCGTGAACATATTTCCGCTGTCAAGGCAACTCGTCCATGGATGCTGTTATAGTCAGTTTCCATGTCCGTAGCCTGAACACAACCCCACTTACCAGAAGCTGGCCAATGAGGACGCTATTATCAGCATGTGTATTTTATGGTGGGACGGTATCTTCCTATGGTTGGTTTCTGTAGATCTGTGTAAGCAGCTGTTTGTATTACCTACAACGCTGTATTTTCCGAGACACATTTGTGGGTTTTGTGGATGTCGTTGAGGTCTAAGTTCAGAATTGGCTGTTTCGGGATCCGGACTTTCTGTACCCGTTGTCTGTGTTGTCAGCAAAACCACATCATAATTTTGCGATTGGTCTGAGGCTAATCGAATTGCCAATCTCGATAGAATACATGAAATGTATTTGCTACAATAACAGTAGAAATTCGAAGCTGCACAGCTGCGAGTGATTAAGACACCCACTCGAGTACCCTCTCTCCATTCTGCCACTCTTCAAAATACTGAGAAGGCTTCCGTTGATGTAATAAGCAGCAGTATTAATTATCCTACTTCAGTGCAGAAACAAGTCATCTTTCAGGCGAATATGACGCGATCACATTCGGTCGCGCGTGGGCTGCGTATACCACGACGCCGTGCGCATCTACGCGGATTCAAACAGATGACCTGCGGATTACAGTGCAACCACGTAATCCTCACAGCCACCGGTCGACCAAGCCTTGCGGCGTGGAACCTGGTTGGTCAATGGGACAATGGTTTATAACGGGTAAAAAAATCATATGCTTGGCTTGACTCGTAAGGTGGTTAGAATGAAAATTACTGGATGAAAACAAAGTGAGCGTCAAAAGCGCACATGTTGGAGGCTTCACCAAGGGATTTGCAGTGGCACAGCAGTGAGTTATACTACATGAAGTACCATTACGGCGTATTGCAGCAAAATTTGTGTCAACATGAGGAAACCTGACAAAGCAACTATAGAAGGCATACAGTGGTCTTTTACTAAACACCTGTTAGGCAAAAGCTCCACTAACATCTATCTGAAGCGGTACCAGAAACTCCATCTCGATCCGCTTTGGTTGCGAATAATAAAGCACAACTTGCTACTGCTGCACAAGCTGATTTCTGGCAATGCTTGTTGCAATATGCCTGCAGTAACATTGTAGCACTGTCTCACTTGAGACCTTCTTAACATATAATTTACCTTACGGTGCAAGACAAATGTAGGGTCCAGCTTATTTCTCGTCAAATATGCAACCTTGTGGAATCCACACCCAACCACAGTCAGGTTGTATGATAGTGTGTAATCAATTTTAATTGTAAGCTTGTAAACTACATGGACCTGGACAGAAGTTTGAGATTTTGTTCGTGGAACAGATTATCTGACGATTTATTTAATGAAGGATAATATAGCGTCTAGCAAGTGAAATAGCACAGGTTCACCTAGTGGACGTAGCTCTCAGTGTTTGTTCAATGCTCAACTTACAATAATGCTTTCCACCTGCGCGTGTAAACACAAACATCTGAGACATGCATTGCCAGAAACAAAGACAAGTGCAATCACGCAAGTGCACATTGCTTGTGCAAGAGCATGATACTGCTTGCATATAGATTTGATCCGTGCCACATATGAAAGCAGCTTGTCAGCTGGTGAGAAATGTGCCTGCTATTATTATTATTATTATTATTATTATTATTATTATTCTGTGGAATCGCATGTCATGCTGATAACAAATAATGGGTAATTTGTCACACTCCGAGATGCACGAATTCGATCCATAGTGAAACATTGTACCTAAGAATAGTTCCAGACACCATAGGGTGAAAACTATATGACGTTTTACTTCAGTATCCACTTCTCAGTAGCATAGGTTGAATGATTCTCCTAATGGTTACTTTGAAGACTGATTAACTATCAACGTGACGGCATTGGGATGTTCCAGTTTAAGCGGCTGGTTTTTTGGACAATTCTGATATAATCACAAAACTAAAAACCTTTCATTCTGGAATACTTCCCGACTATTGTCGACTACTTCTTATTCACCCTTCACTCGTTTGAACATCACCGTTTTTGGTACCTTTACTTCTTGATTTTCGAAACAGTGTGTGAACTTAAACGTAATTACAGTGTTTTTAGACATTCAACTAGATCCCAAAGTCCAAAATCTGGGAATTTTATTTTTTACCCAAATAACTCGGGCCATATTGGCTTTTTCCATGTGATGGGCTCAAGTATTTCTCCAAGACAAGCTAACTAACGTCTGTCAACGAACACCCACGATAAAAAGCGGTATGATAACTGACTTCCTTTTACACATCACATTGCCGGCCATCTGAACCGTCATGTCACTAAGTAATGGAAAATCAGGTGTTGCCACAAGTTGTGACAATCCACATACATAAAGGCTTACCTGATTAGAATTACCACCTTATCTTTGCGATCTGCTTTTTCGGTGACTTGTGAGCCTCTGTAGACCGACCAGGCCTACTGTGATAGTAGTGTGAGCGAGTATCCAATTGCCCAAATTCTGCACGAGAGTTTTGGCTGAAACATCAAGGAGACAAGGTCAATCCCGTTAGTTCCATCACAATCGTATCATATGTATTCCTATGATAGTAACGGGCTAGTAGTACACCCCAAATTTCCTCTACAAGCGTCCTATGCTGTTAGGTTGTTTTTCTGGATCTCTCCACTACAACCTGGGTGTGTCAGAACTCTGGGTAATCAACTCTTTCTTTAAGTTCTCATCAAAATTATGCGAATGACAATATTCTGCTTGCATCCACACTACGAGCTTGAGCAGGTGGTTGCTTTACTGATAGTGGATGCGGAAGACAACGCTCTTGCTTTCAGCCTAAACACTGTGCACGTGCTTCTAACCAGAGCGACGTAGCTCGCACAATAACTACGTATGTATCGCTTAGCTCTGAAATACAATCTGACCTGTAGCCGGATCGAAATGCCGTTTGTCCTCATGATCGTTATGCAATCACCCAATCTGATGGAACATTTTACTTAACATTTGCGGAGCCATCAATTCCGTAGATATGTTTACCAAACACGCGCTTCGCTTTACAAGTGTTTGCTCATCTGTGTAGTCAGGGAACTAATAGTTTGCTGTTCATAGATGAAACTGCAGCTATGCCATTGTTACCGCATCTCTCATAGGCATGGCGGCTGAGTGTGGCATATCCTGAGAAACTGATCGTCTTTGCTGACTGGTGTCTGATGTTCGTTTATTAGTGCAGGCAATGAACAATCATGTAAGAAGACCATATTGCGGATTATGAAACCAATGGTTAAACAAAACATAGATAAGGGGAGAAATTCGGATTTTAATTGACTCTCTATGCTGTTCACATGCAAACTAGTCCCGTCACAGTCATGTTACGGAAATGGCTGGTGAGCACATAATGTTAATAATAAAACGGCAGCTGTACGCTGTAACGGCGCTTAGCTGCCATGCGAGCACCAACAGTCGCGGGTGGGCTGGATATACCGCGAGGACGCCCGCCTCTACGCGGATTCGATCCGGTGAACCATATGGTTGCAAACCAGACGCGCATACCACTCGACCACCGGCCGACCAGTGAACACATAGTTTGACTTGGGTTAATTGTCCTCTGAGTGCAACGTAATGCAAATGCGATAGTGTGTTTTCAAGGCGTTTTTCGAAAATCATTAAGCTTGAGACCAAAATGACGAGTTGGAAGGATGTTACGTGTTCTGGATACCCGAAGTGAGCATACGTTTTATCGAATATAGACTGTAGCTAATATGAGCTTGTGCCCTCTCAGGTTTGTATTGTGGCTGAGTTACAACAGGTCGCAATAGGCGTGAGTTGGGTTCGTCAGTGTTAGGTAAAATATACTGAGGTCTCCTCGGTGACGCCGATACTCTCCGCTGTAAAATCCAAGTCTCTGTTAGTAGGGTACGTGGAACAACCCCCCAAGGAATTTGGTCACTGCGTTCTGGAGCTATAAGGGTGTCAAAGTGCGAAGGCCGACAGTCTCGGATCATATATTCCACCTGAGGCCTCACGTAGACGTTCAGCACTTTCAGGAAGGTAAATGGCTAAACTTCCCAAGTTCAAGGTGCTGACCGGCTCTTTCCGATATCTTTTCAGCCTCTCTCGAACAGCTAAGGCCGTCCTACATAATTATTACGAGGTCACTTTCCTGAGAAGTATGGTAGTGCTCGTAAAACAAACATGGTTGTTCTGCAGGGGATTGACTGCTGGACTTAGTGGATAGAATGCCCTTTTATTCCCTATTTGGACGGCATTGCTTGCCGCTTCTGCTCCTTTCGAAGTGGCCAGTCGAATAGCTGGCGAAAACAACGATGTTACGCGTCGTCTCCTCACAGGTAGTCCCGGGACCGGCTGCAGAAATGATGCAAAACGCCATCGGAAAAGGCACAAACATGCGGTCTGTCACACACTCGTGCTCGGTACCTTGTACCAGTTTTGACACTTCTACGCGATGGATATGAAGGTTTTCCCCCTATTCTGTAAAAATTCACCTTTTTGCTTCGTTCTTTCTTTCCCGCCGACTTTCGTGTATTTAACTTTGCTGTACCAACGAGGGTCATGTACACTAAACACGCCGCACTTAGGTGCACAGATTCTGAATAACCAAACGGGATGGTCAACCATATTTTAATGTTCTGTTACCTTCAAGCGTCTGAATAATTCCGGTAGAATGTGCCTCCAGCTTTCCAAAACTCAACGAATACACAACCCTGATAGGTCCCCGGATAGAATAATGATACTCGCGGATAACTTGGTTGTTACTTAACTAACTTCTGTCCTCTGGTTTGCCGACCCCGTATTGCCGCTAAGCTACCAGTGTAGCATCCGCACTGATTTGTCCCGAAACGTTGCCTAAAATAACGCCTTAATTTTTATTTTTCAGTACAAGTAGTATATTGCTCATGGGAGTGCATAAGACGAACCTGAATGCTCATACGGACTTTTGTTAATCGAAGCGAGTCTAATGCATACACCGTGTAATCGCTAAGATTTGACGCACCTCTCTTATTGGATTTACTACCCCCAATTCTCGACATGCATTGCTGTGCCTACATTTTTTTCAACTCGGATGTACCTGCGCTACCAATTAAAACTAGCACCACAGGAGTTTATAGCCCACACCCTCGGTGTATCCGTTGCCACAATTTCAGCAGGATATTCGCGGAAATCTGCATGCAAATGAAGCTCCTTTTCCGAGTACATTACATTCTTTCTACCCTCTTTCTACAGCTTGCTTTTGGCGCTATCTACGTTGCATACATCACACGAATCCGACAGTCCGTTTAAAAGCTGCATCTCGTCTAGCAGCCATCAACTTAGCACACGGAAAAGTAGCGGGAATTCTGCCATGCCCATCAACGCTCAACTTTTCACCACGCCGGAGGTAGCCCCATTCGACAGCGAAGGGCACACTGCCTACAACAGGATGATAGCGTGTTGACCTCCGTCGGCTTTGTTCGCAACTATGGTTCCGCCCGTAAGACACTGTCAATAGACCTCGTGTGCCTGTCCCAACACGATCAGCACGCTGAGCGCTGACAACGAAAAGGCGATCACAATTTTCACACCTAACTTACTCTTGGCGAGGTTCGCAACACAATAACAAGGAAAACAAGATGTACGCGATCTACACAGATGCAGATAACGTTCTTTGTTATTCTAAATCGTGCTTCAAGACTGTTTGAATTGGAATGACAATTAGTGATTGTAGTAAGAACCTTCATCACAAATGCGTAAATTTAAGCATAGTGGAATTGAAAAAATGACACTGCACTCCAAACTCCACTTAATTCTGTACATAATGTCTGCTCAACCCACCCGTAAGTTGCATCGCCGTTTTGGCACAGATACATGACAAACTGACAGCGGTTGTGTAGCCTGCCACAGCTGGTACAGCGGCTGCAAAAGAACCAGCTGAAAAATCGCTCGACCCTTTACCTAAACCTAATTTCAGTATTGGAACAGAGCGGCCAAATCAAGCGTGTCTTTAACAGCTCACTGCCAGCTATCACAACTACGAGACTTAGCAAACAGACGAGCAGGCAGTCTGTCAACCCCGGCGACCCAACATCATCATCATCATTATACACGTCAGCTAGAGGTGGGAAACACCTCAGCTACTGTGCCGCAATACATAAAGGAAAAGGAAAATAAATACAACAGTTACATGCCAGCTGAGCTACCAGCAACGGGTAGGCATCGTTCCGGTGAGCTACCAGCCGGCTACCAGACAAAAAGAAAAATTATTATGTTTTACACTATGAAATGAGATCGAAGGTGGACGGGGAGGCTAAAAGGGACGGGAGGGACAAAGAAACTCACAGCAGGAACGACACTGAGGTCGTCTCCTTGCCATGTCAGCAAGTGTATCAAGCCAAACGTGTTCCCCGTCTTTTGGACCCCAACCAGGGAGCCATGACGCTCTAACCGAGGCCAGCTCCGAAGTGAGGGCCTTCATTCCTCTGGACCAAGTCATCGCTTGGCTGCCCCTCCTCTTCTTCCATCCACATCCCCGGTGATCAAACAATGCACGTTTCAGAAGTCGGTGGGCTGGCATGCGCAACACGTGGTCCCGCCATCGGAGCCTGGTGAGTGAAATGACGGTGTTGAGCGGTTCAGATCCTTTTTCTGTGCTGTAAACAAGGCGTCGAACACGCTTGTTACTCACGCGGTGTTCCCACCAGATGTGAAAACTGCGAAGACACCGATTGTCGAACCTAGCTAGTCTCTTCATGTTTGCTGATCTTATGGCCAGGTTTCGCAACCATACAGTAAGGTCGAACGTACCGCTGCATTGTACACCCTACCCTTCAGGTCGAGAGTAATGTCGAGCAGCCGACATAGGTGGCGAAGGTTAGCAAAAGCATTTCGAGCTGTCGCTATACGGTTCTTGATCTCGTCTTCGATCCCAGCGGTGCTGATACAACTTCCCAGGTGGTTGAATTCCTGAACGACTTCTAGCTGATCCCCACCAAGGGTCAGCACAGGGGGCGAATCCTGCCAATCCTGGAGGAACGCTTTGCACTTCGGTGGTGCAAAGCAAAGCCCGAAGCGACTGACAGCCAGTGCTAATCTGTCCAGCGCGGCTTGACACGTCTGGGAGCTGTCACAGATGAGGGCAATGTCGTCTGCATACTCTAAGTCAAGAAGTAGTTCTCCTGGGAGTAGCTCCACACCTTCCAAGTCATGTCCAGTAAATGCAATCTCCATGACTTCGTCAATAGCGAAGTTGAAGAGGAAAGGTGACAGCGGGCATCCTTGTCCCACAGCGCTGGAGATATTGAAGGGTGGCGACAGTTTGCCGTAAGCCCTCACTCTACCCGTGCTACGCGCGTATAATGTTTGGATAATATCTACATATTTCTCTGGTACACTTTTCCTGAGTAGACAATTCCAAAGGGTACACCGATCAACCGAATCGAAGGCACCTTCGATGTCGAGGAACACGACAGTGGTGGGCAGCCAATATGTGTGACGGTGCTCCAACAACTGACGCAAGGTGAAGATGTGGTCG